GGGCACAGGGCTGAGGGGCGTGTGGGGAGGGGGGTCCCCTCCAGCAAACGAGCACTGGCCCCAAAGGCTGGGCCGAGGGGATTCGCTCGGGAGCTGGGGGGGTTTCTCACCCGGGGAAGGGGAGCTGGACCCCACAGATGTCGTAGGGAGGTGAGGGGGTTTCTAGCCCATGGACTGGGGCTGGGCCACGGAGTTTAGCCCTGGATGCAGAGGGGTCTCGGTGGTCTCATGGGGTTTGTGAGAGGTGTCTGGCCTTGGGGGGGGGATCAGGAAGGTGGGGGGGGAGCAGGGAATACCTGAGGGGACAGTGAGGTGGAGCATGGCCCTGGGCTGCCCGTGCCATCCCCAGGGAGCAGTCCTTGCTGCCCTCCCTGGGACCCATCCTGAGCCCCCCGGATGGGCACAGCGGCCTGTGACCACCCCCAGCACAGGGGATGCTCCCCCACACAGTCCCCCCCCACCCCGGCTGCGTCCAACGGCCACATCCCGGGGCAGCCCCCCGGCAGGCAGGCAGGGAGGGACGCGGTTGCTAATTGCAGACGCGCAATGCAATTAACATGCTCCCAAGCTGCTGCCATCTGTCCAGGCCAGCCCGGGCTCTCCACCCAGGTGCTGCTACAGGAGCTGACACGCTCGGCTGCTGCCGGCAGTCCCGCTGCTCCCGGGCAGGCCCCATCGGCCCCCAGAGGGGAGCAGGCACTGCCCCTGCGAGGTCCCACGCAACTCCGGTGCTCTTGGCGCGGTGCCTGGCAGGAGGCACTGCTGCAGGACGAGCGTCTCGACTCGGGGAGACCCAGCCTGGACGTGCCTCACGGGGCTGGAACGACTCCTTGAGCCGTCCGAGCCAGCACCAGCAAACCTCCTGAGCAGGCATCTGCACCGACGTCTCCCAGGCTTGCCCAGGCTGCCCCTAACGCACCCCGCTGTCCCACCGCCGGCTGGCTGCCCGGCCAGCTCGCCCTTATTCCCCCCAGCCCCTCGTCCTCGCAGCCAACCAGGGCTCCCCAACCGCTGCCATCCCAGCCACGACGGCTCCTGCACTGCCAGGAGAAGGGAGCACCCACGGCACAGCCTGCCCGCTCCGGGCGGCACTGCAGGGACGCGCGGCACAGAGCCCAAGGCACCGGCATGCACAGCCCCAGCCCAGCCCCGCTTGTGCGGTAGCAGCACACATCGGCACAGGGTACAAGAGCCTTGGGGGACAGCAGGCACTGCCCCGCCCGGAGCCCCACCGCCGGAGGGACAGATCTGTCCCCATGTGAAGGACGCAGCCTCAGAAGCCTCCACACCACCAGCCGTCCCGCACACTGCTGCTCCCCTTCCCCAAAACCAGGGACCCGCTGGCGCGGGGCTGCAGCCTCCCGGGGCGGGAGAGACCCCGGCCCCGCTGCACCCGCACTCACCTCCATGCAGAGCAAACCCCGGGGCCAGGAGCGCCGCCAGCCCGGGGCCCATGAGCAGCTCTGGGGACAACTCCGTGGCCCTGCCCCGTGCCCAGCAGCGCGGCGCTGTGGGGATGCCCGGACACGGCTGTGCATGAGCCTGGCACGCCGCTGCAGTGCTCGCACCAGGAGCTGGTCAGACCTCCAGTGCCCTGGCGCACTCCACCACGACCCGCGGCAGCATGCACCCCGGACGGCGCGGCCCACGGCACGAAGGCGCGAGAGGTGACTGGGAGCCCCCAGCCCGCACCCGCAGCGGTGAGGCCAGGGCACGGCCGCCCACGGGGAGCAGTGAGGGCGAACAGACCACGCGGAGCTGCCGGCTGGTTTTATAGGATCTCTTTTACTGACCTCGCTGGGGAGAGCCATGGGTCCATACTGCATGTTTTACAAACACTTCACGGTATATACAAGTCAGGTTTTAGTGTTTTCCCCCAAAAAAGAGATGCTTTTGGATTACTGATCAGCCCCAGCTGCCCTGATGAGAAATGACTGGGAAATCAGGGGAGCGCAGGGCCCCGAGGGAGAGGGAGCCCCGGCTCAGGCTGGGCTATAGTACAGAGTCGCCCACATTAGCATGTCATGCAAAAGCAAAACTGGATAATGAGAATAATAATAACGAATGCTGAGGAATAACATGACTCGATCTACACGTGGCAAATGAGAGCAGGCGGGAAGGAGGAGAGGTGCTGTGGAGATCCGCGGGTGAGCCATGGCACCGTGCCCGGAGGCCGTCCCTGGGGAGGAGGGGGTGCACCTCGGGGCACGCTGGCACGGGGCGGGGGAGGACCAGGCGACCGCACGGGTGCCTCCTGGGGGGCTACGGCCCCTGTGGGGGGCCAAGCGCGGGGGCTACGGCCCCGACAGCCCGAGCCCGCGGGGCCCCG